CACCGACTGCTGTTGTTAGTCAGGTTTGTCTACTGATTTCTCCTGCTCTTGAGCGATGCATTGACTGAAGGTTTGACTGACAGCTTTAAATCGTGCTGCATGATTATTGGCACCTTGTAAAGGGCGTCTTTGTGCGTTGCGGTCAGTAATTGCTGCAGATGGAGGCTGTTAACAGCACTGCAGCACAAAAGCGGCCAGCGTAAGATCACACTCATCAAACCATTACACAGAGAGACGCCTCACTGTCACTAATGTCAGCTCTCAACACACAGACACACCGCTTTCTTGGCTTGTTCAACCATTCATTCATTCATTTTCTTGTCGGTCTAGTCCCTTTATACGTAAATCCGGGGTCGCCACAGTGGAATGAACCGCCAACTTGTCCAGCAAGTTTTTACTTGCCCTTCCAGCCTCAACCCATCTCTGGGAAAGGCTTGTTCTTTCATTCATTGGTTTACCTTCAGCTTAGTCCCTTTATTCATCAGGAGTCCCACAGCAGACAACTGTTCTAGCATATGCTTTACACAGCTGATGCCCTTACCCAGTGCTGGGAAACACCCATACACACTCATTCACACACATACACTATGGCCAATATAGTTCATCAAATCCCCTGTAGCGCATGTGTTTGGACTGTGGAGGAAACAGGAGCACCCGGAGGACACCCACGCCAACACTGGGAGAACATGCAAACTCCACACAGAAATGCCAACTGACCTGGCCGAGGCTCGAACCAGCAGCCTTCTTGCTGTGAGGCGACAGTGCTAACCACTGAGCCACTCTCAATATTTCATGCTATTTTCCAAAAATGAGCATGAAATCATATGAATGGTACACTAGCCATTGAGCTCAGTATTTGACAGGTGTGACCAGGGCCGACCCTTAACATTTGGGGGCCCTAAGCAGAATAATTTTGCGTCAAGTTTAACCAATCTTTCCACAATATATATAATAATTAATTATACATCTGTCAGTGAAATAAATGAGTTGTGTGCTGAATTGTGCACCTGTCTCACTCTAAAATGTAATATTAATTTGGTTAAGAGCTTATTAGAAAATTAATAAACTGAATTTATATATTAAATAGAGCATGAGCTTATACTTACACTGCAAATAAGGCTTTTCTTACTTAGATTTTTTGTCTTGTTACTGGTCCAATTATTTAAAAATTCCTAAATTAAGAAGAATTTTCTAGACAAGCAAACCATATTGTCTTGTTTAAAGACATAATATGCCAATATTAAATGAGTTTTTCCTTAAAACAAGCAAAATAATCTGCCAATGCGGTAAGCAAAATGATCTTACATTCTTATGATTGGCAGATTATTTTGCTCGTTTTAAGGAAAAACTCACTTAATATTGGCATATTATTTCTCAAAACAAGACAATATGGTTTGCTTGTCTAGAAAATGCTTCTTGAAATAAGAAATTTTAGATATTTAGACAAGAAACAAGACAAAGGGCTCTATTTTGACGGTCCATGCGCAAAGCGCAAAACGCAGGGCGCAAACGCTTTCAGGTCGTGTCAGGACGCGTTTTTGCTAATTTAAGGACGGGAAATCTGCCTTGCGCTTTTAAACAGAGCATCTACTGCGTGAGAATGAGAGATAATGGATCACTTTCACATTCGCTCTTGGATAGGGAAACCTTTACGCACAGACATCAATTAGTCTATAAATAAATACTTTTGCTTGTTAAGCGCAAATATTCGTTTCAAAACTATTTCTAAATTCAGTTCTAATTTCCAGCAAACGGATAAATGAACAATAATAACAAAATGAGCTCAACAACCTGAGTTATATCCTAAAACACATGCTGTGCCCTATATGGTCTAAAACCTGACAGGTGGGCAAATCTAAGCTTGTTTTTAATAAAACAAATATAAATATGGATATAATAAATAATACTGCTAATAATAATAACATTATACAAAAGCAAATTGTTATGAATGAACTGAAAAAGCCTCCCGAGATGAAGAAGACATAAAAGCAGTGGTTTTTCATATTTATGTAGGCTAGTAAATAATATGTTTTGTAATATTTTAATCCTTTATATTTATATTCTATATCTATTCTTATTATATCCTATATATATCCTTAATATTTAATTGTTTTCGTATGTAAAGATATTTGCCTATTGCTCTCTTGTGTGTATTAAGCAGTGTGTAAGCGAGGGTAACTCTGCGCTGGAGTTTAGACCGGGTTAGTTTTGGTCTATTGAAAAATTTATTTTAGTTTCTCAAAATAGCAACGCACCAGCGGTCCGCCTCAGAACGCCTTCCTTTTTAGAGCAGAACGCCTATGGGCGCACAAATGAGCGCTAATGCATTTGCTATTTAAACAGCGTAGCGCAACGCCTCAAAACGACTCTTGCGCCAAGCTGAAACTACCAAAAGACTATTGCGCCACGCCTTGCGCCACACTGCGCCGGGTGTATGATAGGGCCCAAAAACTCTAAGCAAGAAAAGCATTTTTTCCAGTGTATACGCTTATATTGTTATACTTATATTATACTTAATATAGCTTATATTGTGAATACACTTTTAATGCGTGTTGAGAACTTTTTCAATTTTTTTCAGTTGAATAATTATTGGCACTTTATTTTTATTTTATCTTTCTTATTTTAGGGGTCGTGGGCTAAAATGTTTGGGAAACCCTGGTCTTCAGAACAAACCACTGATGTGCAATGGCTTGCCTATTTACCCTAACTTTACCCTAATTACCCTAGTGAAGCCTTTAAATGTCACTTTAAGCTGTATAGAAGTGTCTTGATGAATATCTAGTCTAATATTATTCACTGTCATCATGACAAAGATAAAATAAATCAGTTATTAGAGATGAGTTATTAAAACTATTATGATTAGAAATGTGTTGAAGAAAATCTGCTCTCTGTTAAACAGACATTTGGGGGAAAACATATACAGGAGGGCGAATTATTCTAATTCTAACTCTAATTCTTTGCAACCACTTACCTTAATCAGTAAATCCAATGAATGGTTTGTTTTATCAGTGTGATGCTGCTGATCTGATCCTCCTCCTGAAGAACAGCTCTGTGTGGAGCAGATCCATTAGCTGAACATACTGAAATCCTGCAATGGGATCATATGCTGGAGCACGTTCAGACGGAGCGTCCAGACAGATCAGATTACCCAGAGTCCCCTCTGAGGCGCTTCCCAAAAACACTTTCAGCAGGATTCAGGAGATCAGGTTATCCCGGATTACTGCAGATTAGATTCGATTAGGAGATCAAGAGAAATTTACTGAGAGATTAACAGAGCTGATTATCACACACACACACACACACACACACACACACACACACACACAGACACTCATATACTCACAGACATGCGCGCACACACAAACACACACACAGACAGACATTCACATACGCACAGACATGCGCACACACACACACACACACACACACAGACACTCACATACGCACAGACATGCGCGCACACACACACACACACACACACACACACACACACACAGACAGACACTCACATACGCACAGACATGCGC